CTAAATTCGATTAGAAGGTATTGTGTGTCGATTCTCATCTCAGGGGCTTTTTTCTAGATTTGGTTCATAGTGTGTCTGGATGGTTCAAAGAGGAATGAATAAGATTTCATATGCGAAATTAAGGAGGATAATAATTGCATAGCAATTAAAAGATATGACTAGAAGTGGAATTTCTGAAGGCACTATCACAGCTATTGTAGAATAATCACACACTGTACGCTTGCTTAGTCTCAATTTCATATGTTTCTGATAGTGAACGAACGGATCGATGACGTTGAAATAAGCAAAGTACAAAATTTAGAGCAAAACACAGTCTCGTTTGACCTCCATAATAGCGCTTGATTGTTCGGCTCTCTTCTTCACTCACCATCACCCATCACGTTTTGTGGATAAATCATTTGTGCAAAACCAGAAGAATGTGGATTTTATATGAGAAATTTTCGTTTAAAAACTATATATGTATGTATGAAAGTATATACATGCATATGTATATACATATAGACATTTATTGTTTATCAATGTTGTTTAGGGCGAAGCTCGAGGAAGGAGTAAACGGCAAGCCATTATACCATTCGTATGTATGTATGTATGTATGCATGTAAATAAGTATATAATGTATAGTATTATATAGAGATCTCATTTATCGCTTGCTATTTTTTTTTTTTGGTTCTTGTTTGCAAAACACGCATAGCAAAATCAAAAGTGTTGTGAATTAATTGGAATAGGAATTTGAATTGATAAACCAATTGAAGTGGTCAATAGTTGGCAGATCAAATACAATATTTACATAAGCCCATTAGAAGTTTACATACATACATATATATGCACGTGCTTAGTGAAATATTAAATAATTAAGGCGTAAAAAATATATGTAGACATACACACATATGCATATATAAGTCGGCGAAAGTCCTGCGTGCGAGTGCCTATTGGCCAATGGACGTCGCTGCTGGTACCACGGTGCCCTGGCCCCTTACCTTATACCTAGAACGGGTCTTGATGGTGTGAGTCTGTAGTAAAACATGAAATGACGGTCGTTAAGGAAAAGAAACGACCTTGGATATCAGTTCAAACGTCGGTGGGAGCAGTAAGCTACCTCCAAAACAAACTCTCAAAGCGTTGACGCCATAGACTTGATGGAATAGGGGGCCTTACTACGCTCGCCAGGGCAAAACCCTGTAAGGATGAATTGGTAGGTTGTATGGAGAAATTCAAGACCTGATCGCGAGCGGAGTCACCTCAGCCATGGAGTAGCTTCATTGCAAGTTACTTTTGCGAAAATTTCGCTCGATTTAATAAACTTATTTTACTTCTTCCAACCATGTGTGCCCATCAACGTAAGTTTGGATTTAAGGGCACTCACAAAGCTAATACGCCAACTTGTCGTCATATTCTGTGCACGCTCTGCACTCAGCCGATTTCCCTTACCTAGCCCACAAAATGCTAAGTTCTCTTACGCTTAATGCGAGTAACATTTCGGTCTATCTACAATCCAGACTGTTCTACAATAATTTGGTTGTTGGTCTCATCGGGATTTGAATACGGGCCTTCGGAATGGCAGTACGCAGTGCTAACCACTCGGCTATCGCGGCGGCAGAAAGTGTTCCAGCGCCTTAAATATTCCTCCAAGGTCTACTGATTTGTAAAACATTTGAAGGCGCTGAAAGGTCTGAGGCAGTCGATGGTGACAACATCGCTAGCTCGAGTCAGGCGATTCACCTTTCATCGTCTTCTATATCCGTGTGACCCAGTACCCAAGTGGTATTCATTATGTTTTCCAGTGATTGTCTGTTATTTGACTCTTTGCTTGTTCTTACGCATTTGGAATTTGTGTTGACGCCCTTAATTATTTGATTGTCTACCAAAAAGCTGATAAACGGTTGCCTATTGGGCAGCTCGTAGTGTCCACAATCTCTGCTTCGTAGACAGAGTTGTTGTGTTTGAGTTATTGGGGTGTTCACACAAGAACCTAGCTTCTCTGCATACCTCGCATTTAGCGCAATATCTCCCATAAGGAGGAGTTGAACTGCGATTAACAAAGCGACAGTGTCAGTCCACCAGTGACAAGTCCAACCGGGATCAACGTTTGGCTTATGCTAAGCAGAAAATGAAGACCGAACATACTATACAGCGATTGAGTACTTTATTTAAGCGTCTCAAAAAAGGAATTGCGGTCAAAAGTCAGTAATTTGCTGAAAGTGAGGCGACAGGAAAAGAATAAAAGTCTGAAATGCCGATGGAGTACTGGTGGGTATTTAAGGTCACCTACTTTGGGAAGAAGATTTGTAGCGAGAGTTACATGCTTCGGATAAACAAGTCCGTCGAGGATATCTTGAGCGTCAGTCAACTAATCATCAATAGCCTTGTGCTCGAAAATAACTAGCTTTAATTAAGATCTCTTGCTATTCTATTAGAGGCCAGTATCATTAGAAATTGCTTGCACCGCTTTCACCTCCTTTTTCCAGTTTGCCTAGGCCGAGCTCCTTCTCTAATTTGTTGTTTGCGTATTGATGTTTTTCCAACAAAAGGACCTATACTTAATTCTAATCTCTACGCTCCGAACAGTCGTTGGGTTTTTATGAGTAGTTTTGATGCTTATGTCATAAATACGCTCAGAGGGTTTTATATTCCATAACCGAGGGGCGACGACATTATAAATATTAAATTTTTTATAATTTGGAAGCTGCTCGCACCATATTTCCCACCCTAGCCTTCCGAATATAACCCGTGTCTCATCGTGATAATCACTGTTCGAGTAAACAAGAACTTCCGTCCGCTCTGCCCAACCAAAGATCTGGAAAACGTCATCTAAACCAAAAACTTTCCTTTCACATCTGAAGCTTGGAATCGAAGTAATCTAAAATTCTAAATAAAATATTTATTAATTAAACCAAAATACCAGAAATAATCACGGATCAAGTGTTTCTTGAAGTAGTCGTTGAGTCGAAATGCAAATGTATAGTCCAGTCGGGAAATGACTTGAACCTTGAACAGGTAATATTTTCATATGTATATACATATATGCAAGTGTATAACATGAATCGTTATAATATTAATTGATACCTGTAAGTCCTCCTTGAAAGTTAGCAAAACACTTGAGGCATTACATCATTTTTTTCTCTAACAAATAAGGCTCTTGAAAAAAATCTCTTATGAAAATATACTAATTGATAGTATACTTTGCATTTTATCAGTGCAAGTCACAATTCACAATAGAAGAAATTGAGAGTGCGGCTGTATAGCGAGTAATATAAGGGTGTCAATAACTCTGGAAGCACTTCAGAATCTCAAGTTTTCCTTTAGAGTTTCCAAGCGTAAAAAATGAGTTCAAAACTCTGCGAAGGTCGGTAGCTCATGAAGGTTATGGGGATAAGAAGAAACCTTTTTCTGTGTCTGCCTTGCATTTGAACTCAATAGTAGAGATATACTTTCATACAAAGTTAAAATTTTTCTTACTATATTACTCAAATTTTTAATGTTTTTTTTTTTGCGACTGATGAGTAATGTCCACAGGGAAGTTCGATAAGCGCTAAATTATGTATTTTCGTTCTTATCTTGAGTGCGCAATTGACACAGAAAATTCTTCTACTTTTTTATTGGCAAATTTGGATATGTGGTTTGCGTATGGTTTCTGTGCAATCGATATATGTATGTAATATGTACATATGTATATTTGCGAGTCGGTAAAAAAATTCTTATCGATCGACCCTGAAACGTGTTTTGTCGATATTTCATGCATTTCGTACGTATAGGCAAAAGAAAAAATGGTTATGGCCAATTTACGAAGAACTAGAGCGTGTTTATGATGAACTGACGATTGGAATCTTGGGGGTGTCGGGAAAACGACAGCTTCCAAAGCCTTCGAACCCGACGAAATAAGCAAGCTGAGGCTAAAGCTTTTGCGGGTATAAATTTCTCACAAAGTTCTATCACTCTACCAATACCCGACATGTAGAGATGGGGTAGAGTGGCTCCGCTATTGAAACCAGAGAAACCAGCCAATAAAGTGCACTACCAGCGCACTTAACGCCATAAACACCCAGATAACTCATAGCCTTTATTAAAATACACTCAAAGGGCATACTGTTCTGTGGTAGCACCGAACTGGTAAAAGTCCTTGACCCCCTCAACCCGGATGTGCTACTATCTGATCTTGAGTGCCACCATAACCAACGAGATTGATAGGTTGGGACATGAATCAACTGATTGACCAGGAGATTGATAATATTTGTTTAAAAGTGAACTGATATCTCGCACTGCACGAAATTTAAAATTGCAACCAGCAAAATCCGCGGTGACTCTATTCGCCAGCGGGTCGATGGAGTTGCATGCTCGACCTGAATGTCAAAGTCGAAGACATCGAAACTCCATTTGTTAACAACTCGTAGTATTGAAAACACTTGACCAGCCGGTTGTTAACGATTTTGCACTGATATGGGCGCCTGGGACGAATGAGACGCAGATGAAGTAGTTACAGGCTCGCCAGAACATTGCTCTCAGGACCGCAACAGGAAACCTCCTGATGTGGCTGCCGCATCAATTGCGCCGTGAAGCATCTATGCCACAAGTTAAGCAGCATAATGCTTTGCGGTATAAGCAATTCTTATGGGGATGCTACTGTTGGGAGCACCACAATAGGCGTCTCATTGAAGCAGAACTTCTGTTCAGGCACGTCCGAAAAAGAGTACTAGATATGATAGACACCATCTAGCAACTCGTGCACCAATCGCTGTACAGGACGGTGTACAGACAAGCCCTGAACGCCATAAACCAGGAGTCAGTCAGCTCTTCTAAAGACTCCCTTCACGTGAATGCCGTAGACGGAGTAAAAGCACCAAATATTGCAGTAATTGCAATTAGCTCGAGCACAACTTAGGTCTGGATACTGTAGTAGAGAAAACTCCAACTTATCCAGACTCCAAACTGACATTTGTGTCGTTTTGTTATGCAGGCAATGAAACCTCGCACGATACTAACCACCTCTTTGGATGCCCTTCGAATTCAAATCACCCTCCGTGTGATTTTGCAGAACGCTTTCCAGAAGTAATTTCATTTCAATTGATCGAATACTACTTATTAAGCACTTTTTCACAAACACACTCACAGTCGAATCGTTGCATCTACACTTGCAATGAGTTCACACCCGCTATTATTTGCCTTTGCTGTAGCGCACAGTGGCAACGCCAGCAACATATGTTTTAACAACTTTTATTTTGTTTACATTTTTCATTCACATAAACACTAGAAAAACTAAAATAATGAGCTGCTGCGAAGAAAAAGTGAATTTCTTTGATTTGTGAATTATTCAAAACTGACTGTAGCAAAACATTATTTTATTCTAGTTCCGTTGGACTCCTAAGTTAACATTTGACTTGATTGAAGCGATTAGACAGCGGACGTGTCTTTGGAGCAAAGATGACAGCGATTACTTGAACAATGATACCAAAAGAGCCGCTCAAGCGGATATCTCGATATTAATGAATGTTCCTGAAAATGCTGTACGACATAAAATACGCATTTTACGTACAATATTTTTTCATGTACACAAAAAACATAAGCGATCTAAAACGATACCAAAGTGGAGATATTATAAGCGACTGTTATTTCTGGTGGACCCATCATATGCCGCATTACCACCTTCACCGTTACTCGTACCTATAGTGGAAAATATTGATACGCAGGAAATGTCAAAAAAGACGGAAAGGGCAGACATTTCGGAAGAAGACTTGGTAGAACCTGAAATAATATCGACAGACACTGAATTAAATTCTTCCGAAGATTTGTGTGAAGTAAGCAATATACAGAAGCTAGAAGAGAGTAATGTCATTGCAGCTAATGAAAAGTTTGGTCGTTATGTTGTTGAAAGTATTAATAATTTGGAAGATTTTAGACTTATGAAACGCACGAAAGCTAGAATAAAACTTCTAATATCGGAAGTGTTGGCAGAGCGTGCGATGACTCAGTTAGCTGAATGTGGATTTTAATCTTTTTGTTTATATTTTTTTTATATTTTATTAGTATAAAAAATTATTTTATTGTATCTATGTAAAATAAATAATTTCGTTATATGTATGTATATATTACATGTTATTTGATTGAATATAAAAATATTTTTTTCTATTTCACGATGATACTTATTTAACTTGAATTGAACATTATATTGACTCAATAGTTCAGCATTCTTTGAATTTCTAATTTCTATTTTATTCAATCAACCATAAAATAAAGTCAATAACCTCTTAATTTTTTTCCAAACTTGTTGATGGAAGCTGCCATTTGTGACAACAACGAAAAACCGAATGATGTAAACATCAAAGGGGACGTCAACAAGGCATTGCTGTTTATTGTTCGCCACTGTCTGCTTTCAACCAAAAGTATGTAGATATGTCGCGTTACATACATATGCGCGGTTTAAGTGTGCAAACTGGTTTCTAGTTGAAAGCAAATACGATTTAAATGAGAGCATTGCAAATCACATAGACTTTTATTTTAAAGACAATACGTGATTTAATGTTTATTGTACTACTGATATGTACATATATGCATATTATGTAGTTAGCAAAAAAAGTGCATAAAATATGTACATGGGGAATTGGTAACCAATATTTTTATTAAACTTGTTATTTTGTAGCGTAGCTATAAGCAACAGGCATTATATAAAAAAACCGAAGGCTCAGATCCTACGCACTTAATTTTTGCAATATGCAAAGAACGCAAAAATCACCGGCATATATAAATGTGTCAATAGTAGACTGATTAATTTATAAGAATATTTTATTATATTCTTTTCGAAGAGTTCTTCTTAAAAAACACTTCATTAGCCAACCGCCGGAAGCGGAAACGCCTTTATGTGCATATATGTACATATATACGTACAAACATAATGTAAACATTTATATATGCACGTGTACTGTATATATGTATGATATGTACATGCATACATACATCCCTAAGGATTATTTACTCTAGCTTCAGATTGATTTTGCCCATGTAAAGATCATACTCTTTATTCGTTCTTATTTATAAAAGTATTTAATATAAAGAGAGAAATAATTAATGGAAATACTTCTTTTTTATTAATATTAATTATTAAACAGACATACATAAATATGTATATACCAACAAGATCAAAGACACTGGCCGCTTTGTTTATTTTCTTGTATTTATGTTAGCTTGTCTGTATGCATATGTATAAAAAACAACAATGCATTTATTTAACTTCGCAGCTTTAAATAATGACTACTTACAACACAAAACGCCAACACTTTTCCTTCATATGACTGATTTTAATAAAATATACAAAATGCAACTATATTTAATATTAACACACTAGCGGTAAATTATTTTTATATATCGTACTTCGTTGATTTACCTTTATGACTGTTTTCAATACTTGCCAAATAAGCTCTTTACAGCTGTTTCTATAGTTGTTGTCTCACGGCGAATTCATATTCCTTCTCGAAATAAATTTTGCGTCGTACTGTACCAACAGCTGCGTATCGATTATACAAACTTTTACAACATGTCAGCACAAATTATTAACATTTTCTTTTTGTTTTTTAGAACTACGAAATATTACAAATTTATTTGAAGTCATCCTTATTTTCCAAAACAGAGAAATTTTTATTTTCTGTTTTATTTTATTACAAAAAATTCCAATCGTAACACCACACAGCTAAGAAGAAGAGAAAAGTGCGGCCGATGAATTAGTCTTACTCGTCTGGATCACGGTTAATGCAGCATTACTCATTGCAAATACAAACTCGTTTCTGCATACCTATTGGTGTGAGCGAGAAAAGCCTATATGTTTCAATCAAAGGTTATGCTAAGCGGACAAGAACTGTGAATTTTATTTGCTGCAACCGATCAAAAAACGCAATCATACATCTATAGCGCACACATTTTCTTTTAATTTTCATTTATTTTTACATAAGAACGTTTGTGAAATAGATAAATAATTGCATTTTTAACTATTGCAGTAGTGGGCTAAAAAGTATAGTCCTAATAAAAGTGCTAGAAAGTAAATGAAAAGATAAAATTTTACTTGAACGTTTGCTATTAGAAACGGGTGAAAATAAATTGGCTCAAGAGGAAGCAGCAACGGGCGCCGCCATTCGCGGAAGCACAACAGCAACAGAACATAAACTGGAAGTTTACACCAAATTCTCGAAATATGAAATGGGTAAGTTATTGCAAAAAAATTGCAAAGTATTTAAGAAAAATTATGTTCATATATAAAATATGCAGTAAGGAGCGATTTGTATACCAATAATACGGTGGTGGATTGGATTGGCAAGCGAGTATTCCGAAGGAATAACAAATCGTTCAAAACTATTGATTTATTTATTTATAGTTGGAATTGCAAAAGTAACGTGAACAGCTTACTTGATTGGCACGCAATGTATCTTGGTTGCAGCATTGAAATGTTCACAAAACAGATTTTAAGAGTATGACGATATAATTTATGGTTTAGTAGAATCCAATGCACGATTTGTTGCTTTATGCGATTGCACAGTTTAATTTTCAACCCCACTAATTTTAGTTTTTTGTGAAAAGTTTTAAACAAAATTAGTCTATTTTTTATGTGAGGGTACATGTGTTGAATTTTTATTTAAAATAAGAATTATTTTTCGTAAACTTTGCCTATGCTTTTGTAGTGTATAGAAATGGTTACGAGGCCGGGTGTCAAACACCTATTTCTCTCCATCTTCTTTCACATACTATGAAGTTATTGCAAGAATCTATTCATCGATTATCCAAAAGATTCAATGCTACAGCCAAGCTATTGAAATCATTTCATAAACGTTATACACGAAATATAGTTTGTACTATTCTATTTTCATACATATATACTTTCTATATATATATACAAGTGCGTGTATTAAATCTCTTACAGGTATACGCCCAGCTAATGCTTCAATCAAACAAAATTCAAATATAAAATAAACTAAAATAATAAAGCAAAAACCAATCAAGTAGCAAACAAGAAAAGAAAGGCCAAAATCAAAGCGCAAGTTCAAGTGTTTATAGCTGTTTACTTAAACGATAAAATACTACCATAATAAACTGCATTGGCCGGTGGTTGACGCCAAAACCACCCACAATCGCCACCACCATTACTTTTTAAATGTAATTCAAAATCCAGCGCGTTCAAATTTGAAAAGTTTTGTGAATATTTTGGCTATAAATCAGGCCTGTGTTTTGTAATTATTATTTCTATAAAGTTTTAGCGGATAAGAAACGTTTTCAATAAAACAAAAAATAAAAATAAACGACTAAATATAAGTAAAACGCAAAGAATTTTCACATATAAAGTCGGTTCAAAGCAACGTGGCTGAAACAGCAGCAACAGCAAAGCCTACAACAGCTGATGTAAGTAGTGTAGTGCAACATGAAGCATTTGTCCCTCTGTATGGTGGACCCTAATCCAAATGCCATTCAAATATACACACACATACACGCACGCTTGCTTTACGCAAATACTTGTTTGTTGGCTGGCTGTTTTAATATATAATTAATGTAAAAAATATTTATTAAAATTTTTTTATGTTTGCCTTCACCAAAATGAAAAGAAAATAATCCACATACCAATCATACATACACATGGAAATAAATTATAAATAAACTTAAAATCGCTTTAACTTGATTCAAAATTGATAATTCAATTTGGCCTAAAAGAAACGTTGGTTTACATATTCCAATATTATCATTTTGCATATATGTATTTCCCCAAAGCTATTCAGACACCTTATTTGTTTGCCGATTGATTTATGTTATTAGAGGGAGAGTTTAAAAATAGTGACGGCTGCTGTAATCAGTTATGATTTATTGAAAAAAGACTATTTAACTTATTTTCAAAATACATTTTACAAGCATACATATTCATACATATAAATTGCGCTTGATTTTTATTTTATTTTGATTTTTTTTCTTTTACAGTATCATAAAATTATGTATACAAAATATATTTTGTTTATTTCTATATGTATTAACTAATACTATTTTATATATTTATTTTATTATTTTGATTTTGATTTTTTTTATTTTGTTTCTCTTTGGTTTGAAATTTGGTTTTAATCACAACCTATTGTTTTGTGCTAATATCTAGCGCCCGAATCTATTCTTACAGGCGATGCCTTCTGCCATAAGCGGTACCGGACACGGCTCAGGCGCCGTTAGTCACAATATAAATATACCTAGTAATGAAGAGTGCGGCATACGTGATGTTTGGAAACATAATTTAGAGGAAGAATTCCGCACAATACGTAAAGTCGTACAAAAATATCATTATGTCGCTATGGATACTGAATTTCCCGGCGTTGTGGCACGTCCTGTTGGTGAATTCCGTTCTACCGCCGACTATCACTATCAACTTTTACGTTGTAATGTAGACTTGCTACGCATTATACAACTGGGACTGACATTTATGGATGACGAAGGCAAAACGCCGCCTGGTTACTCAACGTGGCAGTTTAATTTTAAATTTAATTTAAGGTGAGTGTGTGCGCATTTGTTTATACAAAGTATCTGAATAGTATACAAATATATTCTTATTAATTTATTGTTCACAGCGAGGATATGTATGCGCAAGACTCGATAGATTTACTACAAAATTCCGGTATACAATTTAAAAAGCATGAAGAAGATGGCATTGATCCACTTGATTTTGCCGAATTACTAATGTCTTCCGGCATTGTGTTGGTGGATAATATCAAATGGCTGTGCTTTCATTCGGGTTACGATTTTGGTTATCTACTCAAATTGTTAACCGATCAGAATTTGCCTGCGGATGAGAGTGAATTTTTCGAATTACTACGTATATATTTCCCCAACATATACGATATTAAATATCTGATGAAATCGTGTAAAAATCTAAAGGGCGGCTTGCAAGAGGTGGCCGATCAATTGGAGTTAAGACGTGTCGGGCCACAACATCAGGCCGGTTCTGATGCGCTGCTCACCGGAATGGCATTCTTCAAAATGCGTGAGGTACATAATGACAATAAGAATTTTATTATTGAACCGACATCGACATTTCTCGACTATGCCGTCGAGTTTAACAACAATAACAACGTTATATAAGAAATGAAAACGTAGAAGAAGAAAACAAAAAAATCTTAATGAAACCTAACAAATCGAAATCGAAATGAAAATGTTAAAAAGTAATATTTAAAATACGAGCACGTAGCATTGTTTTATTTTTGAAAAGTTAGCTGCGTCTAACTAATAGTATATATACAAACAATGATATATAACTATATATATAAATATATATATGCATACATATATAATTCTTAAAAAGTCAGTGAACATGAAAAAAATTCAATTCAACTTTCTATTCAACAAAATAACGTACGAAATATGCATTTTTTTCCAACTAACACTTGTACGTAAATTTTTTCACACATTTCTCTTTATTCATGTTCTTGTTCTTTATGAAAAAAAGTAATTATTTTTTCCTTTCTTTTTTCTTTTCTTTAATTATAAATACGTGTCGGCGCTTTAAAATAGCGTTACACAAATTTCAACTAACTGCTTTGATATGCAGTCGGTGCACCATAAAAGACTGCAAATGCCTAGAAATCATTACAAAATATTTTTAACAAAAAAAAATGAAAACACAAAACATAAAACATATAATTCCCCCTTCATGTGTTCATTGCCGATAAAAGAGAAATTCGAAATGCTCAAGAGGCTTTTATTATTATTGGCTGTATTGGATTTAATTCACTATTGGTGGTATAAGCCGTATATAATAATGAATATATAACATAGTATTGTTAATATGCACGAAAAAATTTTAATTTCATTTCCTAAAAAAAAAAAATACATTTTTCTAGTGTTTTTTTTTTTAACTTAAATTATTTTATATGAAAAAAAACACGATTCCTAAACTTTTTTAACGATATTATTTAAAAATTACAAGCAACTATTTTCCCACGCATACATACATTATTGTATTTCCTTTAATTGTTTTTCTTTTTTGTTTTTTTTTTCTTTTTATATTTAATTGTAATTTATTATTATAAAATTTGTTTTTTTTTTTTTTACAAACATTTATAGTAAAGAAAAACTATAAAAATGAATTATTGTCCCCATTTGACGCATTTCATAATGCCTTAGTGAATTTAATATATTTTTTTTTAGTCATAGGTGTAGGTATATAAATAAAGCATAATTTTGCTTGGCTTAAATTATTTATTTTATGCAAAATTTGAATATTAGTTATTTTCAAAGTTAAATTCAATTGAAAACTGAATTATTTTAGTATTAGTTTTTTTTTCTTTTTTTTTTTGCTGTACGAATGCAGCTTTACTTACTTCTTTTTATGAATTGATTTCATAAAACTATTTTTGGTTTTTTTTTTCTAATTTCATTTCGTATGTTTTCCACTATTTTTTTTTTTTAATCATCAATTGTTATTAAAATTAAAATTTTAAATTTAATTAGAATCTCATTTAAAACTACATAAAATGCATTGATATTAAAACATTAGGCTACTAAGCTACTGAAATTGCTTAAATTAGTTTCGCTTACGATATTTTATGATTTTTTTTTTATTCTATCAATATTTTACTAATAGTTTTTGTTTTTAATAGTTTAAATATTGAACGCTAACGCCTAATGTAGCTTACTTTAATTAATCTGAAATTTTATTTTAATCATGTTTTTGAACTAACCTGAAAAAATATTTTGTAAAAACAAGAAAAAATATTTCATACCACGAAAATTAACTGATTCAAGTATTATTGAATTTGTTTCTTTGTTTAAGTCATTCAGCTTCCTGTTTACCAGCTCTTGTTCCTTACCATCATTCCTTAACTGCTTTTAGTATTATAAACTATTTTTATTTACTTGGGTTCCTCTTTAAAATATTTATTACGTTACATTATTGTTTCCGAAAGTTTCAGATTTTTTTTTAATTTAACACACTTTGTTTTCGCTAAAACTAAAACTGAAAAATTTCAAATTTTAATGAACTTAAAAAAATCTGATTAATTTAATTGTTTAACAGGGTTGTGAGCCGATCTTTTAATTTTTAAAATACTTTTTTAATTATACCAATGTTTTTTATTTTTTTCAATATTTTTTTAGTTTTTTAATTATTTTTGTTTTTCCATTTTTTTTTATTTACTACATTTTTAATATAATATTATTTTCAAATTTTTTTCAGTATTTTTTTTTCTTAATAACTTCAATATTTTTTTTTTTAATTTTTTAAATTTTTTTTTAATTTTCTCCAATCTTCTTTTTTTAATTTTTTTTTTTAATTTTTTTTTTCAATTTTTTTTTAATATTTTTTTTATTTTTTTTTATTTTTTTTTTTCAATTATTTATTTTATCAACATACAGATTTTTTTTTTAATTGTGTCAATATTTGGCTCTTAATTTTTTTTCGCACATCATTTTTGCACAAACCTAAATTTTTATTTCGATTACTTAATAACAATTTACAACAATTATACTATAATTTTTTATTATTATTAGAAATATACGTTGAATTGAATTTTTGATTTAAAAAATAGTATGAAAAATTATAAAAAAAAATTAATTGAATATTTAATTGGAAAATTCTTTTGTTATTGTTGTTATTAAAAAATGCGAAATAAAAGCAAACTATCACTTTGAGTTTTCATTTCTTGGAGCAAAACCAAACGAAAAGCGTGGAATATAAAAGTAAAGTAAGCAATTATGTATATTTGTGTATATATGCAACTACATAATATACTATATACTGTAACGGTTGTAGAAGTATGATAAAAAGCTGATTTGAATAACCATAGAAGAAGTATAAGAGAGTTTTATGGAGGCAGGCCCATTACTGGGCACAAAAAATATATCTAACTGTAGATTTTGAATTTTTTGGAATACTTTGTAGTAACAGTAATAAAGTAGAAGTTTAATAAAAGAAATAAATTTTTAAATTTCATTTATTTTATATTTTTATTTTTTTTAATAGAATAACAGATATTAACTTTTATTTTTTATAATTTAAAAAAAAAAATTTTTAATTGATTTATTTTTATTTATTTTTAATATAAACAATGTTAATTTTTTCTAATTATGATTATTTTTATACTAATTATGATTATTTTTATACTAATTATGATTATTTCTTTTATTGAAAAAGTATTGTTATTAACTTTTTTATTTAAAATAAATACTTCAAATTATTTTTAATCTAAATTTTTCTGTTACTTAACATTTTTGCACCTTAACTACTAGACGATTGACCTTTTCAGTGCTTTAATATGTGTATGTATGTATATCAAGGCTTATGTGGAGTTGAGCTGAAGAAATGAAAATTTTAAATGTTAAAAAAAAAAAGATTTTTTGTCGAAAAAATTTTCTATCTTACCATTTTTTGAAAAAAAAAAAATCTAAACCCTTAAAACCAGTCATAGATACATTCAATTTTATTTTATATGCGATTTTAAAAGAAATATATGTAATTTTTATATAGGTAGTTTTGAAAATAGAAAGTTTTTCCACATTTTTATGTTTATTAAAGGCCGTGAGAAAGTTATAAACAGAAAAACCGAAAATTTAAAAAAATAAAAAAAAATTAATAAATGCAGCACTAGGTTAATAAGTAGTACCTATAGAAATTTATAAACCATAATATATTAAATAATTTTCGAATGTTGTGTTTGTCGCGGTATTGAGGCATAAACAGGGTAATAAATGAACTAATATAAAATATAAAAACATGGCGTAATGTTGAGTACGGAAATATGGAGGCAAAATTTTTGTTCACTTCAATAAATAATAATTAATTTCAATTTTTAAAAAACTTGCAATAACGAATTTATTTTAGCACAATAAGATTAAGTTTGATTAATATTTTACTACATATTCTTTTTTAAGAAAAAAAAATGCACAGAATTTAAAAAAAAATTGGTTTTTAAAATTTTTTTAATATAATTCATTATTTATATAATTTACAATCTGCAAAAATTTTTAGAATTCAAAAAAAAAATTAACTTTTTATTTATAAAGAACAACCGGTTTTTTTTTGCAATTTTCAATCGTTTATTTTAAAATTAATTAAGTTTTTACTTAACTAAGCGCAAATTAAAAAAGTACTTAACATTCAAAATTTCAATACAATATTACATTTATATTCATAAGAATTTGCTCTTAGCTTTAAAAAAAAAACTAAATAGTTATAATGAATTTAAATAATACATTAAAATATGTATTCACCAAGCAAATAAATGTTTCACATTGCAAAAAGATTGTTTTTGTGCATACTAAAGAGAATATTGAAATTTTTTTCTTCAATTAAACTATTTCTCTACAGGTTTTTTCATAAAAATATTATATAATTTTAAAATTACTATTTTCGAAGACAAAAAACGAATTTTTAAATTTATTAAAAAAATTTTACCCAAAATAGGTATAATAAAAAAGAATATTTTTTATTTGAAGTTTAATTATAATAAATAATTTTTAATTTAAGTATTATTATTATTTGTAAGAAAAAACTCTTTTATTTATATATTTAGATTTTTTTATTTTCGTGCGCAACAATTTCCAGAGTACTATTCTAAATGTCTTGTGCCAAAAGTATAAAAGTTTTTTTTTCGTTTTCACCAGCTTTTTATTTCGTTTCATTATTGTTTTTAATATTTTTTTATTTTATATAATTTTATTTTATTATTTAATTTTTCATAGTTTATCTTTCTTTATTTTTATTTTATTTTATTTCATTTATTATTATTTTAAATATTTTATATTTTGTTATATTTTGTTATACATGTTATATTTTGTTATACATGTATTTTTTTTGGTTTTCGTGGGATACAATTAATTTTATTTTTTTTTTTTTTGCTGAAAGTAAAAAAAAAATATTGTAGATCTCTGGCCGATTTTTTCTTTATTTTGTTTTTTTTTTACTATTTTTAATTTAAATTTGATATTTTTTTTCAATATATTTGAATTTAATTAATTTATTTTACTTTTTGAGTTTCCTTATTTTTTTTAATATATATTTTATTTTATAATAATAGTTTTTATTTTATTTTGATTGTTTCTATTTTACTTTTTACGCTAACTTTTAGTTTGTTATTTTTTTAATTTTATTTCCTTTTTTAATTTTTATTTCATTTTAATTACTCTATTTTATTTTGTTCATATTTTCTTATATTAATTTGATATTTTTTTTTTTATTTCTTAATAATTTTCATTCTATTTTTGTTATTGTTATTATTTTTTTGATATTTGTCATTTTATTTTATTTTGTTATAATATTTTTAATTTCATTTATTTAATAATTTTTTTTTTTTATTATTTGACTTTAATTTTATATTTTTATTTTATTTTACTTTTTAATTTTTTTTAAACAATTTAATATTTTATTTCTATTTTATTTTACTTTTTAATTTTTTTACAATAATTTAATTTTTTATTTCTGTTTTCTTTTACTTTTTAATTTTTTTTAAATAATCTTCATTTCATTCCATTTTTTAATATTTTGATTGTTTTGATATTTTTTATTTTATTTGGATTTAAAATATTCTATTATATTTTTGTTTTTTTTATTAGTTTGTTATTTTTAAATAATTTTCATTCTATTTTTATTGTTGTTGGTATATTTTTTATCTTATTTTAATTTGTTTTATTTTTTTCATTTTATTTATTTTTTATATTTCTGATTTTATTTTAGTTAATATTTTTAATTATTTGACTTTAATTTTATATTTCCATTTTATTTTACTTTTTAATTTTTTTTAAAATAATTTTCATTTCATTCATTTTTTTTAATAATATTTTGTTTTGGATATTTTTTAATATTTTGTTTTTTTTTTTGATATTTTATTTGGTTATGATATTTTTTTTATTTTGTTTTGGTATTTTTTTATTTTTTTTTTTTTAATATTTTTTGTCATTTTATTATTTTATTTTTTAAATTTAATGTTTTCAGTCGACTTTGTTGTTTTTGGTATTTTACATTTCATTTAATTTAATTTTTTGTATTATTTTATTTTTTTTTCAGTTAATTTTAATTTTTTTAATTTTTTGTTTTATTTTATTTTTTATTTATTTAAATTTTTTTCAATTGTTTTTATTTTATTTTGATTTATTTTATTTTATTGATTTTATAAATATTTTTTCTTGTTACTTTCATTGATTTTACGTTTTCCTGTTCAAATACTCTTCTTTTTTTAAATCAATTTTTTTCTATAAAATTACTGAATTTATACCTACCTATCGTTAAATATATCGTTTTCTTTTTTTAACATATTTCAAGAATCAAGGAATCAGTTTTTAATTTTGCTCTCTCTCTCTCTCTCTCTCTGTCTTTTTTTAGATGTTCTTCGAGGACAACATAGACAATGCCAAGTATTGTGGCCATCTTTACGGTCTCGGCACATCCTTCATTGTAAACGGCACGAATTTCCACGAGAGTAACGGCGACAACAACAATGCAACGTGATTCGTTTTTATTGAAAGGACAGCAAATACAACGGCCAGAGATTAAAAACAAGAAGCCAGCCGTGTAGATTTGAAGACGATGCTTTTTTTGTGTGGAAGGAATTTTAAAAAAGAAAAAGAGAAGAAAAACAACAACAGCTAAAAAAAAATACACCCATTCAACAAGTAGATGAACTGTTTTATAAAAACGAAGAGATGATTTCAAATGTAAAGAGTGCAAATAGTAGCATAAAAAAAACTTTTTGTAAACAAGGAAAAAAGGAGGACGAACAAACAAACTCATGCAGATATATATGTATATGAAAAATAAATGCAGTTCGTTATAATAATGGCATACAATTTTCTATATATCTCAAGCAAAGCAAATCAAACATCAAATATAACCACTCCACCCTGTCAAGTAAAAAAAAATAGACAGTATAAAAATACTACAAATACAACTTGACTGCATGCAGCAAAATGAGAAATGTGTAGAAAATAGGCTTATTTATTAAGAAAACGTAAATTATGTTTAGTCAATATATTTATACAAAAAATTGGCCACTTTTTTAATACATTCACAAAATACACATACACGCATGCAAAGCTACACTACGTACATAAATATAAAGTTTGTTAAATGTGCAAAAATAGTAAATGTAAAATATTTTCTTTTCTTTTTTAACACAAACTGCAACATTTTCTAATATTTGTAACTTTCTACAGCAAAAACAATAATAAAAAAAATGCAATTGTTAATTATAATAACCGATATAATGTCTTGCTATTAAATATCTAATTAAATATATATATATGTATATGTATGTAATATTATATGTGTATGTATGTAAGTTAGAAATTTTTAAGCCACTCTTTAAATTTAAACTTAAATAAAACAAAAGCACTCTAAATGTAAACAAAAATTAAAAGAAAATAAACCAAACGTACGTAGCAATAAACATATGTATATGTATGTATACTCCACTGTAAACTCTGTGTCGTCCCTTCCTTGTGTGCATGTGTGACCAACAAAACAAAAGAAGCAAAAGCAAAAAATAAGTAAAACAGTTTTCATTAAAATTTAACACATATATTGTAGTAGAGAAAAATAAATATAATTATTATATAAACAAAAAAAAAAAAAAAAACACAAAAAAAAAAAAAAAAAAAAAAAAAACAAAAAAATCCAAATTAGTTTTAATAAGCAGAAAAAATAAAAACTTACAAAAATTTAATCCTTGTACTTTTTTTTATATATATGAACATAAGGTTTAAAATTTAAATTTACAAAGATTCATTGTAAATGAAAATAAATTCAAATATGTATGTATGTATATGAATTGCACGGTTTTCTGCAAAAAGTGGCGTTAGTATACACATATGTGCACCAACTTGAGGCAACTTTAGATTAGATTAGAGAGCTTAGTTTTATAGCTTCGTGCCATATTTGTTTGGCTTATGCTCCGCTCAGCCCTTAGCTCTCTTTTGTATATTTTCACACTCCATATTCCAGCACTTTTTACACTACTTCCTCACCATCGTTCACTTATTATTGTACATGGATGCAATTGCTGGATCTTCAGTCTCATAAATTATCAAAACATCACGAAATTTATCCAATAGTTGTAACAATTCAGCTGGTCGTAAACTTTGAAAATACATTATCTCCTCCAAGTGATGTTCACTCTTAAAATAACCAGCTTGATAAAGTTTGACGAGCAGCGAAAGATCATCGACATTCGAAGAAGCTGGTATACGCCTTATAGCGGCGCGATCGGTTTCGTTAAATACGGATAGTAGCTCTTTTATTCTTTCCTCGTCCTCAATGGAGGCGATGCTGTCGCAGTTTTCGGTGCTTATCGAAGCAGTCATGCTGGGAGACAGAAAGGCGTATATTAGATATTTATTATATAATATCATATATGAAAGTGAAATTTCAGGTGTCCTTTTCAATACGCCTCTTACCTATAGTTTGATTTGTGACTGGATGAAGGCTGTACTGCAATATTTTCCGAACCAGTTGAACAGCCGCCTGAATAACGATCCTCCGAACGGCTTGTATGCGGCACTGGCAATGGTTGACTTGCACAGGATAGTAAAGAGCCCGCATTGCTATGAAATTATTACGAAATTTTCAACTGTTTAAGAACACAAATTATATACAACTTGCAATTCCCAAAAACTTACAGATCATCATCGCTTGCATTTATGCTATGACTTAATGTGGATATCATCAATTCACCCGCAACACCCACGCCCATGGAACTTATTGTATTTGTACCCCCATGTAAATGCTCATTGCCACCATCACTACTACTGCTGCCCGCAACATTCATACTACTAACACCACCATAGAAATCATCCGAATCGCTGGGCATGAATTGTACATATGTATGTAATTGCATGAGCAAATGATGTTGCAACATCCAGACAACCATCTGAGCCAACATACCTTGACGTGCAGACTGTTGCAATGGTGTGGTGAGATGACCAATGGAGGTGGGTAGGGAAAAGTGTGAGATAGCGTCAAAAAGTGACATACCAGCAAAACGCGCTGAAAATTTCTCTACCAAATGAGATTTGGTATGCAGCGGTGCATCGGGTGCTATCACATAGACATTTGTTTCACATAACGGATATATAATGGTAGCCTTCCCCCAATAAACTAGATGTGAGACCATTTTGTAGACATGTTCAATACTCATATCCGCCTCGGAGGCGAGCATTTGCAAACTCATTAAGGGTGTATAGATCTCGACCAACTGTAATAGCATACGTGCTGCACGTGGTGGCACACAGTCCAACAGTTCGGCATAGTCCACAAGCAACATACCATGGTAGGGTTTCAATGCACGTAAACAACGATCTATTACCTCAGGCTCAACCATGCTGCCCTTTTTATGCAACTGATGCGCCTTTTGTGGCAGACAAAAACTTACAGTTAAATATTGATTTAATGTAGTATTCAGTAAACCAGTAGTGCATAGATCGTGATAGATTGATTTCAGCGCTTGTGCCAATGTGCTGCGTTCAGTTATGGCGTCAAAAGTGCGCTCCAAGGGCTGCTGTTGCGATGAGAGCTCATCGTGTGTACGCGCCATAAGCATAGTTTCCTCGGTGCAGTAACCGACACGTTGTTCTTCAACACGTAAAGCCAAACCAAGACGCTTACTTAGCTCGTAGTAACATTTTACTATGGAATAACTCGCTTGTGCATGCAAAGCGAAGACAATATTTATAAGCATTTGTTGTGGTTGGGGCTTTGTTGGTGCAACATTTGGTTGTGCGCCAGGAACAGCTGTATTGCTCGTTGCTGTAACAAGTGATAAGAAGTTATTCGAGGTATTCGAAGTGTTACTTGTGTTGCCGATGCTGGTACGTAGCTCATTTCGTGGTATCAATGTGGGATGCGACACAAAACGTACATCATTGACTTTCAGTTCCAGTTTTTGATTACACAATTGTTGTTTCACTGCAAATAAAGTGGAGAGTACTTCATCCGTAAAACCTTCCAGTTGGCCTTTAGGTACTGCATTGCAAAAACTAGTACATGCACCGAATACGTTGACAGGTTGTGCATTTGGTGGTGGCGTTGTTTGTAAAAGCTCGTCACTGCTGCTGATAGCATATGGATTTCGTTTCTTGGTGGTTTCCGTGGAAATTTGTGACACTAGCGATGTCGTTGAACTGGTCATTACTATGTCCACCAACGGTGGATTATTTAGAACTGGCGCAGATGCCGCTAAGGACATGGTATGCACCGGCGTTTTTTCTAACAAGAGAATATTGGGCGTGTGAATGGAAAGTACATTTTCAAATTAATTATTTACCTTTATATACATGTTCATACGGGTAGCGAAAAAGCAGTCGATCGCCTTTGCTGTCCATATAGACAAGTAACAATGCAATCGGATTTACTTCCATTTATTTTATTTTGTTTAATTATGTTAAAAACACCGCTGAAAACTCTTCTAAAACTACGATTTCTCTAATTACAGAACAGCTGTATTGATTGATTGCGGTGCTGATAAGAATTTCTGCTTCTTGGTAGAAAGATGGTGAGAAAATCACAATAGCTAGCGAGGGACAAAAGATTGCGAGGTAGAGGCTCAAGAATTTGACCTAGCTAAGGCATGAGATGTGGCTAAAATCCAATAGTTCGTGAGACAATCGCATATTTTAACGGGGCGACACGTTTTTATTCTACTTAATTAACGAATTCTTTTGATTAATTCAAATATTATTATTTTCAAAATGATGTCATAAATTTCCCGTTGCGTTTATCACGGGATGTGCAACACTGTTACAACTGTCAAAGTTTTATTTTTGTGTGTGTTTTCCTTCTTAGCCGCAGTAGTAATCTTCGTTGTCTCTTGAGCATTTTAATTTCTAAAATCGCACAATTTCCGCTACCAATTAACACGTTAATTATGAATTAATTAACGGAAGTGCACTACTAATAATACAGAGCGAGTAATAAATTAGAAAATGGTGGGTATTTACCCAAAACCTTTAAGTGATGGTGATTCCAAAATTTGTGTAATTGAGACCGAAAGATGTCAACTACATAAGTGAATCGCACATTTTTTCACAATATGCACGAAATAATTATGAAAATGATGCCAAAAATAGATTGATAGCGCTTGCCAGCATAGCTGGCACACTTCGCTTTGCTGCATATTAGTACTACCGCCGTACACTATACACAATTTCTCTAATTATAAATTTCCAGGCAGTGCTCGGTGCACAACTAGTGCTTACACTCCTCACTTTAAGTGTTATACAAAAACTGAGTCCACATTTTTCCTTCGCCAAGTGGATACTCTGCGCTACAGGCTTGTATAGATATTTACATCCTACAGATGATGAATTGCGTACACTAGCTGGTGTGCCGAAGGAGAAGCATACAAAAGGCGGTGGCGGCAAAGGCAATAAAGGTTACGATGTGCGTAATGGTACTGGACAATTTCATATACCGCGTAACTTGGAAGTGCAGTTGGAGACAACACCGGTTGTGGCACGCGACGTAGTACACCTCCGATATTTTACAGAATACCAATGGCTGGTGGATTTTAGTGCTTATGCAGCTGTTGTATATATTTTATCAGAGGTAAAAAATTAATTTTATATTTAAAAAGTAAAAAAAAAAAAAAATGGTTTAACATTATTATTTGCAGGTCTACCACTATTATTTTCCTTTGAAAAATGAATTTAATCTAAGCATGATTTGGTGTCTCCTGGTAGTGTTCTTTGCGCTGTAAGTATCATTATTTGCAATAACAAATAAATTTAAATTTTTTATATATTGAATTAACTTTTCTTTTAGTAAACTACTCTCTTCGCTCACTTGGTTGTACTTCCAAAACGAAGAATCAATTGGTGAACGTTCCATGGTAATTGTGGCATGCCTTGTGTATCTACTCATTGCTATGATTGTACTAATCATTGATGAGCGACATCTTGAGACAGGCTTGGAACACGCCTATAGTAGTTTCAATGATAGTGCCTCAAAGTTCCTAACTGCACAGGGTTTGCCATCATCGTAAGTTTTCATTGATTTTAAAATTACATTTTAATTTTCTTTATTTTAATTAATTTTTAACATAATTTTTTTAATTTATTCCATTAAATTAAAAAAAAAACATTTTTTTGTAAATAATTTTTTTTATAAAATAATTTTTTATTAAATTTTTTTTATTGATACATTTTGTATTTAATTATTAATTTTTTTATTAACTATTATTTATACAATACAATTTTTATATAATTTTTTTGTTAACTTATTTTTAACAACAATTAATTTTTTTTAATAAATTATTATTTCTTTATTAAATTTTTTTATTAAATTCTACTTATTAAATATTCTTTTCTATTAATTTTTTTATTAATAAAGTTTTTTATTTATTTTTTTCCATTTTTTTTTTTTGATTAATTTTTTTTAAGATTACATTATTTAATTGTTTTTTATTAAATTTGTTTTTAATTGTTATTTTTTATTATTTTTAAAATTTTTTTATCAAATAATATTTTTTTAATTAATTATTTTTTTCTATTAAAGGTTTTTTTATCTCTTTATTTATTAAGTTCCTGTTATAACTTTTTTTTATTAATTTTTTTATTAAATTTTTTTAATTAAAGTATTTTTATTAAATTTTTTTAATTAAAGTATTTTTTATTAAATTTTTTTATTCATTTATTTTTATTAAATTATTCACATATATTTTTAGTTATTTTTTTCTCTTTTTTTTTTACTAATTTTTTACGTTTCTCCATATAGTGGGCCCGCTTCAAAGTTGATCGTTAAACTCTGTATGGCTGTTGGCTGCGGTCTCTTGGGTGCCATATTCACTTTTCCCGGTCTGCGCATGGCGAAAATGCATTGGGACTCACTGAAGTACTGCAGCGGTCGCAAAGCAGTGCAATTGTTACTCAATATAAGCTTCATTTTGCCATTTCTACTAATAATACTCTGGATTAGACCGATAAGCAGAGAATATTTGACTGAACGCATATTTGAGGGCATGGAGAAGCCATTGTATGTAGACAAGTAAAATTTAAATTTCGGCTTTAATACTATAAACTTACTTTTTACAGACTTTCCGTGCAGGCTTTTGAAACTATGCGTCTTTTAATTGTCATCTTAGTGGTTTTGTTGCGTTTCGCTTTAATACCAATTTATTTGCAATCTTATTTAAATTTGGCGCATGATAAAATTGAAGATTTGCGTAAGGAAGCTGGACGCATAACAAATGTGGAGTATCAAAAGAAGGTGTGTTGGCTTGTACATACTAATAGGAATATTTTTTATTAAATCATATTTTTTCCAATTGCAGATATCTTCCATATTTTATTACCTCTGCGTGGTCACGCTACAATTCGCTGCGCCGCTTTTACTCTGCTTATATCTCACATTAATGTATAAGAGTTTGGGTGAATTTACTTGGGCCGGCATACTACAAAGCAGCAATAGCAGCAGCAGTGTTTGTACAGATATGTGCCCGTTGACTGATGCACCCTTGCTTGATAGTGATGTAGAACTTGTTGCTACAACAACTGCACCACCTGCATTCGTAACAAACATGAACAGCATGCCGACGGAAGAGCTTGTTGGTGAAAATGTACAAGGCGATGATTTTAATATACTCGAATCAGCAAATGCTATGCATGCGCAGTGGATTAGTTTGAAGAATGTGCGTAAATATGGATTAACATTTTTTTCGGAAACTTTATTAGTTTAATATTTCCCGATACTTTTAGGTCTTCAATGCTGATGTGTATAAAGGTTTTTTGGGCTTTGCCAGCTGGTGGAGTTACTTTACGCTCTTCACTTCATCAGCGCTTGGCATTGTTTATCAATCGTATTTTAGCAAAACATGAGGCATAAGTGGCGTGAAGTTTATATTGTTTTTTATTTATTTTTTAGTGCTTTATTTTTATAGTATTGACAGGTGTATTACTGTAAAGAATTGGAAAAAGGTCAAAAATACTGTTGATTTGTACGCCTTTAGTAAAGTAGTTATGTTTTATTTTAAATTTAATTATTTCGCCCACATTGTTTGCTATCTATGCTCTATTACATAAGTCCCACGCCGAATTAATAAACCAAAATAGTATATTTTTATTTAATTTTAGTTTGTAACCTTAAGTTGAAGTAATTTAACTCACTTTTGATGGCAATAAAAATGGATATTATGAGAAGATATTTTTTCATTTTTTTAGTGTACATTAATCCACTCTATGGTGTTGTTGTAAAATGTTAAATTTTTAATACAAGTGTACTAAAGTCACACATAGTCCTTGGTCTTCACCACCGCTAGGGTGAAATAAAATTTCACATGTTTACGAAAAATTTTAATACTTTATTATAGTATATATGTATGTATATTATAGTTATAAATTAAAGTGAAATTATGCCTATACTGTTAAATACATATGTATTATATAATATATATTCATTGGAATATATTAAGTTACGTAATGCATTCGATAATTATTGTTATATTTAAATGCTTGAAATAGAATGTTTTAGAGTTGAGTAGACAGCAAAAGACAAGAAAAAGGACAGTGAGTAAATACTTTTCAAGTTACTTGTATATTAATGATAAACTGTTAAACTTGCTATTTCCTTAATGTTCATTCATCACTTAGTTATACTTATATACGTCAAGCATTTTATAGACCCAAAATTTGTTCTTGCTTATAGACCGCATGATATGCGTTGCGTATGAGCACATATGGGAAACAAGATTCTAACAAATCCATTGTTAAGAATGGCGATTGTTTAACAATCTCATCCAAAAGTAAATAAATTGATTCACGATTACGTGTAGCCTCCTTATCTGACTCTTGACCCAAACGCAATAGCGATGAACTTGCCAATGCCAAAAACTCTTTCATGCGATCCTCTATATCATTCTCACCACAAATGGTGAATAATGCACCGAATATATTATTAATAGCGACTGCCATGCAGTGTGTATTATTCGAATGTCCATCGATGGAAGCACGATAGAATGATGTTTCATTGCGTGCCAATTTCGGTATGGAGACAGCTACGAAAACCATTAGCAAACAGGAAACCAAATGTTCACCCTCATCAAAATCGGGTTTCTTCGATTTGAGTGTAGTGGTAAGTGTTGGATCGACTTTACATGGCAAGCCAGCGGCAGAGGCCATTTCCGAAGCGACACGTATTTGATCGCCACCCGGTAAATGTTCCTGGAAATCACGCACTGAACTGAGTAAGAATGGTATGCGTTTCTCTAGCACATCGACAAGTGCTTCATGCACCAAATTACGAAAACAGAGTATAACACCAATGATGGTCATGCGTTGTAGGACACGATCAACATCCTGCAAACGTTTGAACTGCTCCTTCATCACTTCAGGTTTATCGAAACTGGTGCGTAATAGTATAAGCACATCTTTATTGGTAGCGACAAGTTGTTTCAACTCCTGCACTTGATTGGCAATATGCCACATTAGGGTCTCATTCAACGATTTAATGCCATAGGGACCAACAAGCTCAGCTAGTGAACGTAATTCATTGAGGTCGGAGAATTCCTGTGGATTGAAAGGTACCCAACCTTCTGGAGAAATCGGCACAAAAGCTTTTTGATTCATGGAGAATACGATGTTCCCGGCAGAGACGCGACGCAGCAGAACTTCGCTGTACCTATGTAGAGAAATTGTGGTTTTAGTATATCAGTAACACATACAATTCATACAAATATATACTTACCATGTATTATATAACGCCGCAATGGTTTTTTCACCATGCGAATCCAAGGTTTGTGTCTGTTGCAGTAGGCAGTTGTTGAATACACGCGTTATATCGATATGTACATAATTCTCCACCGTCTGCAGCACATTCATATAAGCGCGTACTGTGGCCAAGAGTTCTGATGGTTTTGCTATCTCCATGGTCTCTTGATTAAACATTACCATGCCGACGAGATCACGTGAGAAGCGATGCTCTAAATTCTGACAAAGATACTCGCGTGGCGCAAAAGCAAATTCCCACACATTCACCGTCGGACAGTAATTAATGGCGAAGCATAACTCTGTGAGTGCCATGTGTAGCTTATCCATGGTGGTGAGGTCCTCACGCGTTTTACGATATGACTCATCGCCTGGCTTACGTATATCGTCGAATTGTTTCTTTGATTTATCTTTCTTTTTGCGGGCCGATTGCACAGAGAGTATCTTGGCACAGTGTTTCGGCAATAGCGCATCGGCCATTGTGCATTGTTCATCACAAATTGTTGTTATGATATTCTTGGCTTCTTTAGCCATCTCTTCCAAAAAGATATTGACCACACTTAGTGAACGTTCGCGTATATGATGTCGTTCTTCTGGACACATTTCATGCGTACAATTCTGAAAGTGACTACAAATCAGTGGAAATGCAATGATATAACGGTTCTGTGCGGGAAATTCCAAACACATGTGAAATTGATCATCGAACATTTTGCTATAGAAGCAGAAGATGCTTAAATCTGAAGTTTCAACGAGTATTTCATCTAAATTGTCAACAACGCGTGTGTGAAATACCATAGAATCAAGTAGACGCGCCAATTCAACATGTTCGGTAATACGCAGAGCCGCTTTGCTGACGCTCATATATGTCTGCAGGCGGAACCAGTCCAAACGAAATGCGCGAAAATCAAATAATTCATTATCTTCCACTTGCTTAACTGTCAAGCCTGAAGCAGTGTTGTACAGTGATGATAAGATGACACTTTCATCTTCCGGGCAAACTTGTAAACTCTGCATACGTATGTTAAGGTCGATTGAATCGAAACCAGAAAGATATTGCACGTAATAACGTTGCATCACTTGACTATATTTACGCACCAAAGCGCGCAACTCTTCCATGTGAAAAAGCAATTCCGGCAATTGGCGATCGACGAGGTCCTCATTTGACTTGCCTTTTATGAGAAAAAAATAAAAAATTAAAAACTTACAATAACTCAGAGCTTAATTCCACTTACCTTTATTTTTCTGCACTGGCGGATTGTCATTATGACGCAAAAGCCACAATATTTCATCGCGTGCCAAACACAAACCAATAAATATGAAAATTGCCTTTGGTCCTAACAAACCGGGCTGATCGGTCATTATAAGCGCGAGCTCTTTTAAAGCAGTGCGCAAAAATTTGCGTCGTTCACGATGCATTAATGCCGCCTTCTGTGTTGCCACGGAGTAGGCTTCCTTTACCTCGCCAATGCGTTTACTATAACCTTTAATGCCATCAAATGTACTTTGTATATACTGATGTATTTGTAGTACTTCATCTCGGAACAATGCTATAACCCAGCTCGATTCTAATGCAGATACCCATATTTTATTTACTTCTTGATATTGGCCAAGCATTTGATGGTTCAGTAATAGACCAAAAATAATCCAACGATCCATCGCTTCAAGTGAAACATATTCACACGACATTGTATCGGTGCGCACTGCCTTCAATAGTATGGCTGGATTGCCTACTAAACTCAATTTTTGCATTTCACGCCACTTATCAGCCGGTAAATTTCGTAACGGATATATTGCTGTAAGTGAGCGTAATGCGTTGGTTAACAAACGTTGATGTGGTATGAACTCTTCTGAAAGGCGTTTCAGTGGCACCTCATAATCGAGTATCATCTGTCCCAAACGTGGAAACCCTGAATCGGCTTGGTTGTTCTGCAATTCATAAGCAGCATTATATAGACCCAACACAGCTTTACGATCTTCCACGCGTGATAGCAGTATCATCAATGACACATAAGTGACAACTAAATCCAAATAATGTTTGGTTAATTCAAAATTCTGAGTTATGTCCAAATGTATCTGGCACGCATCCATTGTAGTAAGCAATTCGCAGACATTGTCTTTGAAATCGAGCAAATCCACAAATGTGTGATAATACAATGAAAGTGACTTAATAATCTCTGCTTTTATATTTACTATTGCATTTAGACCCTTAACATCAATGTTGGGGAAACGCTTTACAATAAACTTAATTGATGACTCAAGTGACTTGTCCGATAAGAAGCCAGGTTTTGATTTGGTGTCCCCGCATGCCTTCTTAATATTGTAAATTCGTGTTAATATACCCAAACCACGATCGTTGAGTATTACAAGCTTTTCAGCGATTTTTTGTTGATTTGGATAAATTGGGCGTGCCATAGTGGCGGTCTATTGCAACAATATTCCCAATAAGCACGACCGACCGCCGCACCTATAACTACACTGCACTTTTTGTTTGTTTGCCTTTAGTTGTGTTGGAATGTGTTATATATGAAAATTTCACTTTATAATTATTTTCACTAATATTTTAAATGCTTGTGCCTTATTTAATAACCGATAAAACACATATTTTAATTAGAAATCGTATAATTTTCACAAAATTTTTCTCTATTAATTTGCTTTGTTCACACTTTCGCTGATAATTGTCAAAAGCAGAGTTGCACGGACGGAAATAGAAATGTCACTGATTCATATTAGGGTGATGCTAGACATTCTTTGTTGGATATTGTTGTTAATTTCCGAGATATTATAGTCATGCGGAAAATATGAGAAGTGTAAATCTAACAATGGTGAAAGACTAATAGAAAATTGGAAATACATAAATAAAATATTATGAAAAGCATACATTATTCTTATATATATCTTTTTTAAGGAAAATATATAAGAATATCTTCGAATTATGAGCTATTTGCCATTTCTTGGGTATCCAGATCTTACAGAATTCCTTCAACGCTAGATGAAACGCTTAGAGGAAAGAAATTAAACGAGTTGGTTTTAAGGTGATTCGGGCCGTATGACGTAGCTGCTTAGAACAACAAACTCATTGGCGCAATCTATTCTTCATTATTCTTACTCAGCTGACAAAATTTCCACCCACTTGCAGAAGGTAGGTACGGAAGTATGGTTGCCTGAGGGCTAGCTGAGCTACTAGGTTCCGTCAAGCTTATTTACAACTTGTGTTCTAAATGAGTTTAAAAGTGCAACTAAATTAACAACTAGATTTTTAACTTCAGGAATACATTCTAACAAAGCCTACTGGATGATTTACCAGTTAAATGAGATTAGGAACGGCAAAAGCTTTCAATTCAAATTTTTCTAATCCCTCAAATGGGTTTCCACTCAACAAAGGAAAGCAGAGGAATGATGTTAGGTGTCTGACCGCTGACAACAAAGCAACACAGCTGCTGCTAGCCAAATAATAAATAAGAAGAAGAAAAAATACATGGAAGTAGAACAACACTTTTGCCCAACGCGCACACACCCACACACACGCACACACACACACACACATTTAGTGGGTAAGGGCATGTTTTGAGCGCCAGATGATTGACGCTTGCTGAGCACGGTGATGGAGTTCAAAGAGCGTTGTACAACCGTGACAGTTTCATAGCGCTGAGAGCGTGCATGAGGATACGAGTTTGAGCCAGAAAAGCTGTTATTTGATTACAAAGTGCGATGCCAAATGAATGTATAAAAGGAGAAACAGTGAAAATGGGCACTGACAACAGAGAGTATAGGCATAGCAAACAACAACAAATTCAACGAAATGGTGTTTGTTTTCATTATTTATCGATCATGCGCAGTCACAGGACTGTCAAATTTCTAGCGGAACTTAAAGCTGCATTTGCAAGTGGGTGTTTATTTTTGTGTTTGTGTGTGTGTGTTTGTGCGTGTGTGTGTGTGTCTGTAAAGAAATGGAGAATACAGTGGAAACTTCGCTGGCAGCGAGAAGTGACATTTGGCAGCAGAGTTGATATGAAACGAGCTGGGCTGAACTAAAATAAACTGAACTGAACTGAATTGAGTCGAGTCGATTTGAATAAGAGTAGACAGAGCGCAGAAAGAAAGTCGACGACGAAGACTTCAGATACGAGACAGGCAAAAATTTTGACCAAGGAAGAAAAAAAAGTATTCAAATTCAGCATAAAAGAATAAATAATAAAATTTTCTACTATAAATTATTATAAAAAAAAATAATATAAATTTTAAAGTTTAATAATATTTATGGGCAAGTGATAAAGATTATGGTATAGTTAACGGTATTTGCAGTGTATACGTGCTGTGAAATTGTGAAAAATTCCATGTGAAGTATCCAAAAGCAAAAACATACCGATGCACATAGCTAAGCGCATACATATAAATAAATAGGTAACTAAAAATGATGTGTCCAATACATATTTACATGTGTATATCCATATATGCGCGTATAGCAGAAAAGTTTTCCATAGAAGAAAAGTAAATACACGCACTTATATTTATGTGCGTATATATATATGTAAATGCAACAATAAAGGCTTTAATAAAAGAAAATAAAAGTGAAATGAATAATTAAATTAAATTAAATTAATAAATATTTTAAAGAAATTATAGGGAATTTACTAGTTTTTATACATGAGCAAATATTAAAAAAAAAAATTCGAAGTATACTTTGTGGCGTTCAAAAGTAGTGCAGTTGCCTATAAAGGAAAATATATACATACATACACACACACACACACACACACACAAACACAGGCATAGCTAACAGTGCAATTGGCGTGTAGACAAAGGAGCTACAGCACTTAGGAAACACTCAAGCACAAATACACACAAACAGACATACATACATACATACATATGGATATTTACTAAGTATGTGTGTAGTTACATACCAACCAGCTTAAGCTGGGGCAACGTACGAAAACTGGAAAACAGTGAAAAGCAACGCGCAGAAGAATATCAAATGAAGTCAAATTAGATCGCCAGCGCCTCCATCGGCGTTCAGCAGTGCGTATGAGTAATCTGCAATTGGCAGCGGAATTGAATTATAATTTTTAAACAGTTAGCCGGCTGCACAGGGGTGCATTGCACACACACACACACACACACACACACACACACACGCGCACATACACACGTTGCACTCACAGTTCAATGGCATGCTCTCGGTTGGTCCAACAATTCGGCTGCTGTGGCTATCATTATTTTGCGCATTGTTGTTGTTGCTGCAAGGCATGCTGGTAACAGGCAATACGTTGACCGATGCGGTGGTAACAAGAAGAAGAAGAAGTAGAATCAACGATAACAACAACACAGCAACCGCATGCAAGTGCAACAGCGCACAATACCAACAGAATGCAACAAACATTATAATAATAACAACAACAGCAATAACAACAAAACGGTGAGAAACGAGTGTACACGGACTCGGTATAACACCGCCGAAAGTTGGCAACACTGGCTACTTTTGAAGTGAGCTAAATAGATAGACAGGCGAAGAAGAAGAAGCAACAGCAGCAGCAGCAGCTGAGCCAACAGAAGAGGAAGATTAAGCAGTATAAAAGGAAGCTGGCAAATAGCGGAAATTGAAGACTAGAAACGACAGGAAGTTGTAGCACAAGCGCAGCGCATTCTAACAAAGCAACAAAGAAAATAACAAAAACAACAAAACACACAAGTAAAATTTATGAAAAAAAAAATTAAAATCTAAGCGCAGCAAGTCTCAGACAAGTGCAGAAGTGAGTGAGTGAGTTAGTTAGTACGAGCACGAATTGCAGAAAGCAAAAACAAAAACAAAAACGAAAACAAATACAAAACGCACAAAATAGCAACAAACAAAACGCCATTAAGCTGGCACCACCCGTCGTTTTGTCCACATCAAATACCATTACAATTGAGACAACGACCTCAACATCGTCACCGCAACACAGCCTTAGCGGTGGCGTCGTTTGCGGCAGCATCAGCGGCGGCGGCGGCGGTAGCAGCAGCGGCACGTCCAATGTTGGATTGGGCAACATTGGTATCGGCAGTACGCTCTGCAGCAGCGGCGACAGCGGTATTTCATCGTCGACGCCATCGTTGGTCTCACAACTCTCACCGCCGCCCACCATAATATGCAGCTTACCAGCCGCCGCGGTCGGGAATAACATCGTCATTAACGCGAGTGTAGGCAGCGTGGCGGTTAGTAGTAGCGCTATTGCAGCCGGTCGCTGTAGCCCTATTATAACTGGCGGTTTTAGCTCGCTAACCAATGGATTGGCAGGCGTTTCGGTATCGGGTCATACAACAACCACTACCATTTTTGGCGGTAGTGGTAATATCATTAGCAAGCCGAAAGCATCGTTAAGTCCGCTACAAAGCTTCTCTATCGGCGGCAGTCTTTCGACATATGGCGGTGGTGGTGGTGGTGGTGGCAATGTGGTTGGTCTTTCCAGTCTACTTACCGGCAGCAATAGTCATTTGAGTAGCATTTCACCGGCACTTAGCACGAGTACGCCGCTGAGTAGCGGTATGAGCGTAGGCGGCGGTAGCAGCAATAATGGCACAAACTATTTGAGCAATATGAAATTGCTCGGCCCAGCTTCCATCGATTTGGGCACAACACCGTTGACGCATCGTAATTATAGTACTATTAAAGGTTTTAGCTTTCGTCGCAGTTTCGATGATAAAATCATTGCGCCCCACACCGGTAGTAACAGCGGAGTTTGTGGCAGTGGCGGTAGTGGCTTTGGCAGTCACAGCAACTATCTGACACATCATCACTTCCATACACACTTCCACCACCCAACGTCTGCCATACACAAACAATCGTCCATTGAACGACACAGCAGCGGCGCCGGCATCGGCGTCGGCGGTGGCGGTGGCGGTGGCGGTAGCAGTGGTGTTGGCGGTGTAAGCGTAATGCCACACAGTGCACACTACCCGCTCACATCGTCGCAATCGTCGACTAAACTCTCGTATCGTGATGACTTTCTCCAGCAAATTGGTTATTTGCCTACGACGCGCATCTTCAACACCAGCATCGACGAGGACCGGCCACAGGACTTTCTGTCGTTGTCCATGTCGCCGCCACTGAATCGTCGCAGGGATATGCCGGCATTGCGTGGCATCATTAGCCTGTAAGTATGCAATACAAATGTACTACTTTCACGTTCTCACTGTCGAAGATTTTATGTTTGCGTGTGGCGTGTGCGATGTCTGACCGTGTGGTCAGCGGCTTTGCGTGTGTGAGGGAAATAATTTATAATGTGTAAACAATTTTAGTATTCATTTCAAGTGTTTGTTGCTCGTAAAAAAGTTATAAATATAAAATGTCGCTTATTAAATATAGAATATTAGCCAGAGGATATTTATATCTTGAATGTTATGACTAATGGGATCGGAAAAAGCCTAACGATAACATTAAAGGAATCATTTTCGAACCACTTTTACGTGAATCGATTGCTTAGACACAAGATCCCGATTAGGTTTCTATCCTTGGCAATCTTACAATCAACTTACATCCATATTGACTCTCGAAGCTCGACGTTTCTGGATTGATCTGCAAGGTTTACATATGAACTCTACAGATCCCGTTTTTCCATTTTCATATTAGAGATCTTAGCGACTTAATGTAGGGATACTTAAAAACGGCTCAATCAGTTTTTGTACGGGCTTAAGACCATATAAAGAGAGAAGTTCCGCCTCCGTTTTATTCTTTATGCAGTCTGGACGGTAGACAGTAGCATATTTCCGGTTAGAGAGTCGACGACACGTAAATAAAGGAGTTGTTGTTGTTTTTGCTGAAGTAATCGCAAAAATATTTCCCAAATTGGTTTTCGAAGAATTTTGTG